TGTCATTAAAATGGTATTAAATGAGAGGCAAAATATTCTCTATTATTGTAGTTAAGTAAAGAAAATAAAATATAATAAAAATAAAAGTCGTTTTTTATATATATAATTTGTTGAATCTATTCGTTTATTTTTTTAATAGCGAAAAATAAATTTTAAATAAAATTAATACTAATTTATTATTATTCAGTACTTGTTTAATAGAAAGCAAATACGTATATATATAGTATATATGTAATATAAACAGTAATTTAAATACATAACATCTATTTAAATAATAAGTTTTAAAAACATATTTTTTAAATATGATATATTAATAAAAGTAAATATTTTTCTCTTAATTTTTACAAATTATTATTTTTAAAGTTATTTTTTAATTAAATTTGATATAAAGTTTATGTGAATGAAATACAAAACTAAATAATAACTCTTTGAATAAGATTAAGTATTATTAAAAATCTTTTATTTTATTAAATTTATTATTAATATACAAAGTCAGTACTCTATGATATTGAAAAATACAACACTTTGTACATAACAATTGAAAGTAAAATATATTAAATATGTGTAAAAAACATAAGTCGGCTTTTTATTTATGCCAAATATATTAATATTTATATTCAAAGATTAAAATCTAAAGAAATAAGCCAAACATAATTATTTAGCAAAAATAAAATAATATAAATTATATTTCACTTAAACTTTATAAAACAAACTCTTATTATTATTAAAGGATTAATTTTTTAATTTATCAGAAAAACTTCCTAAAAAACAATCTGTATTTTTTTGGCTATAAATACAATACTAATAACTTGTATGTCTAATCGTTAAGACTCTAATGTATGACTTGTTTTTGTGTAACATTTTGTAAACATATGTAACATAAATACAAATACTTTGTGGGTATTAGTAATGTTACAGAATATTCTGTCAATTCTTTTTTAAATATCTTTTTATGACTATATTTCCGTCAATTTCGACATTAAGTTATGTTTATTATATGTATATATTGTATATAAGTTCATTTGATCTTTAAGATAGCATTTATTTATTTGCCTTGTATTTGCATTTATYATTAAATAAATTATTATTATTATTATTATTCGTATTATAACTACACTTATATACTACCAAATATACTCAAAATGTAGATAAGTATAGTAGTGGTATACAAATTAATTGGATGTCATATTATATTGTACTAAACAGTTTCAATGTTATAAATTATAAGTACTGTATATATAAATCTAAGTTAAATTAGTGCATTCATTAGAATTCAGATCATATAACTTAAATTATATATATATATATATACCGTATATTTTGTATTCAACTGTTGTTAGATTTTTTTTGTTTAAAATTGTTAAATAAAAATATCATAGTATTAATTATATTGAGTATGTTTTAAGATTTTATATATAATTACAAAAATGGTAAACTCATATTAAGTTTTTATTAAATTAAAAATTTTTAAACTTATAACTACCTAATGCTAAATAAGTTTACAAATTATATATACAACTTTATTCATAACTAATGTTAAAGTCAATGCATATATTAATTTAATAATGAAACAAATTAATGCATTCATAAGCAAATCCTTTAACAATTAAAGCACTATTTGTTTACTTTATTTTTTTGAAACACATAAACATATTGAAAGTTTATATCAATTTTAATAGACCTTCATATTATGCAAATATTACAGTAAAAACTGCAAACACTATATATATATATATAATATATATAACAACTATTTGTTCAGTATATACTGTATATTTGTATACATTTTTGATTGTCTACCTATGCGTACACACTATCTGTACACAACTATTATAACACGAAAGTTAGATACTTAAGTCAACAAAAAATAACTCAATTGTTAAGTTTATCATATAAATCAGTAATGTTTTCTTATTATATATATATATATATATATTTATTGAATAATAAACATTATTTTTTATGTTATAGTTAAAAAAATATGAGTACCTTATGTGTGTTATGTGTCGTTACTATGAATCCAAATCTACAGTAAGAACAGTATATAACATTGATTTATAAATTTACTGTATATTTTATATCTATAAAAATTGTTTATAAAAAAACCTTTAAAAACGCAAAGCTGTAAACTAACGAATCAATTGAATTCCTGTTATATTAGATGATCGCTGAAAGGCATTCAAACTTAAATGAATATAACTGTAGTGTCAATGAAAATACTCAGAGAATATTCTGTGAGTCAGTGTATAGATGTGTGACAAAGACTTGTGTGTCGGCTATTAATTCCGATTCAATGATAACTGAGCTTAACTTCTGTGTGCAATCAGGTGTACAGTAGTTAGTAATTGTGTTATTCACTATAAATACTATAAATTCAGTGTAAAGTGAGTGAGTGAGTGAGTGRGTGAGTGAGAGAGAGAGAGAGAGAGAGAGAGAGAGARAGAGAGAGAGAGAATTATTTATTTAACTAAAGTAAGTGACACACCGTCGATGACAATAGATTTGTAAACAATTTAACATTTAATAATATAATGATTTACTACTTTATTTAAAGTGTAATAAATGTAACGGGTTGGGATACAAAATTGAGACAAACTTTATCATCAAAAAACTGTACATTAAAACTAAATATTTAAAAATTTTATATAAACAAACAGTTAAATACATATTAATCTATAGTTTAGCCAAATTTTTCAATATTTTGTTAACATTTGACCAAAATATGGTCTCAAAACAAGAAAGACTCCGTAATGAAGTCGTGACATTTTATGAGAGACATCGTGATAGGCCACCGATTTTTACGGTCAAACATTTTATGGACAGTGGTAATGCAAAATCAACAATTTATCGTATAATTGCCAACTATAAGAAAGGTGTGACCACTCAAAGAAAACGTGGATCTGGTTGTAAACCACTCGTAATGACCAAAATAAAACAGAAACAATTGTACGCTTTGGTCAACCACTCTGACAAATATACAATCTCATCGGCGGCCAGACATTTTGAGACAACTCGAAGAACTATCAGGTACTGGTTGGCTAAAAGGCAGATAAAACAATATAAGAAGAAAAAGTGTCCAAAATATACCGAAAACCAGAAAATATTAGTCAAAAGGCAATGCGCTTGGCTTTACCGATACTGCCGTAAACGCGATTTCATCATTGATGATGAAAAGTATTTTACATTAACTCATTCATCAAATAATTCATATTTGTCGTCACCAAACAAAACTAGAAACACTGATAGTGTCGCTTATTCACCAAAAGACAAGTTTGAACCAAAGGTTATGTTATGGTTGGCCATCTCTGGTAACGGTATGTCAAGACCTTTCTTTAAAAAGTGTCGGCTAAATATTGAGAGAGATGTATTAGTACCATTTATTAAAGAGAGAACAATTATCTCTTTTGGCCCGATAAGGCATCATCTCATTACGGGTCAAAAGTGGTCACATATTTAAGAGAAAATAATATACATTTTGTTGAGAAATACCGTAACCCGACTAATGTCCCGCAGTGTCGGCCAATTGAAGATTTTTGGTTTATTTTAGCCAATCTTGTGTACAATAAAGGATGGAAAGCTGATAATATCATTCAATTAAAAAATCGGATCAAGAGATGTCTGAGAAAAGTGGACACAAGTATTGTCACGCGGGCCGTGAAGAGTGTCCCGAAAAGACTTAAAAAAGTCGGTCAATTTGGTCCACTATCTGTTGTTCACTAATATATTTATATTCATTTATTATTCAATTTTTATCAAAAATTATTTCTCTAATTTTTATAATTTAATTAAATAGTTATTTTAATTGTAATTGAGTCTCAATTTTGTATCCCAACCCGTTAATATTGAAGTATATTAACATTTTTCCAAAAACATAAATTTTTAACATACAGGTGTAATAATTTTTTTAGATCCCCCTCAGGGCATGATGTAAAATTATATATAATAATAATAAGTTTGCTACTATTGCCTGTTAGGCAATATACAGTATTTACTATTAGGATTAAGTAACTCAAAAATAATAATATTTTATGTATTTTATCACATATTGTCATCGACCATATTATTGGTATCATTACAAAAACAAAAATAAATATTTAAAAATTGTTGACATARTTTTTCATCTATTATAATGTAAATTTATAACATTGTTAGAGTATTTTCTAGTATATGTACACTTAAATGTACATTTAATCGATAAATTAAATTAAATATAAATTTTATACATCCAAATAACTAACATTATTTTTAAAAAATATTTCTTAGAGAATTTTTTAGAAAAATATTTGAAAAATGTTTGTATTGTAGATTAGATTTTTACAGTTTATTTATCAAAATTTATTTATCAAACAACTTTGAGAAAATAATTTTGACTATTTAATTGAGAAAATTTGGAAAATAAAATATTTCAAAAATTTTCATGTTAATTATTAAAAATATAAGATAATTAAATAAGTTTTATTTTAGTAATCTACATATTTTGGCACTATATTAATATTAACTTTTAAAAATAAATAATATTGTATAATAATGTTTTAATATATTAAACAAATCAAAATGATCTGTAAATATAAATCTAACATCAAATTAACTAATTGTTAATAATTAAAGTTAAAATATTAATAATTTATAAAATATTTAGCCAAAAATATGCGCAAAATATATTAAATGTCTATTTTTAGGGTTAGTTAAAATTGTAAAAATAAATGTGATTTTTTTGTCAATGAATTAGTCATACAATATATACTAAAATATAATTTATATACTTTAATGATATACAGTATATACAATATGTACAAAATATTAACAAATATATTGTATTTGAATTGTATAGTAATTACTATTGATATTATAATAGATAGTGTATTCAATTAACATACAGTATAGATGTGTTGTAAAGTCGCAAACAATTTAATATTTACATAATTGTATGATATATTTACTGATCACAAAAAACATTAATAACAAATATACATATATGAATAAATAATATTGATTTTATTTGCAAATTTTAATATAAAATACAATATATTGTATATTATTATATATACAGTTATATTATAATAACAGAATATTCTCTGAGATTATAAAACATATGTTGAAATGATTTTATATATTTGTTTGCAGATATTGTTTACTACAATCGGTATATTCAATGATAAAGATATGAGAGAGAGAAAAAAGTAAGAAAAATTACTGATTTAAAGTGCACATAACATATAATATTTATGGTACACTTTTAGGAGACCCTGATACTTTTTTGTATTATATACGCAGATTATATATCATGCGTATAGTATTCATAAGTTTAGAGGAGTACCTACAAACCAGTAAATCATCTTGGTAAGGAGACTAATATTTTTACACAAACTAGCTGTTACTTCATTTTTGAAATGACAATAAACAACTATAGCACATAAGGGARTCGAACTCCGGGCATCGTATCGGATGTGTTGTTTTCAGGCAACACGTTTAAACAGCCGATACCTTAGCCTCTCGGCCACTGCGCCACCGATGAGAGAGTTAGTAAGAAAGAGAGAGAGAGAGAGARAGAGAGAGAAAGAGAGAGATTTGTCTTGTTTTACATTATGCAAAATATTATCGGTTTATTTATTTTTCACAAAAACATGAACAAAGTTTTCAATTTGAAAACATTATAATAAAATATTTGAAAATATAAAGTAAAGCTTTTAGTAGATTTTTTTCAATATATTAATATAAAGAATATTTAATAAATGTTCTGTTATTTCTGATAAACTGAAAACATAAAAGTAAGCAATTGTTATATATATAGTATATATGTATTTTAAGAAATGATTTCTTAGCGAATGTAAATTTTAATAAAATAATATTATTATTATTTGATTGAATTAGCTTTTATTATAATATAAATTTTTAAATATTATATATTATTAAATGTATTATATTGATTTTAGTAATAAAAATATAAGCTTACTAAATAAATATAGATTATAGAAATATGTTAGACATTAGATTTTATTTAAATATTCTAATAGATCTAAATAGCTAACCATAATCTTTATAATAAATATATAATATATAGTAAGCTTAAAATAATTGTTTTTGTAAAATATAAAATATTACAGTATATATTAAAATATGTATATGTATATATATATACAGTATATATATATATATATACAGTATATATATATATATATATACAGTATATATATATATATATACAGTATATATATATATATACAGTATATATATATATATATATATATGTATATATATATATATATATATATACTGTATATATATGTAAAAATTGAAATATGCTTTTTWAAAAATATTGTTTAGTTTAATATTAGTATAAAAAAAATTTTGTTATTGATAAAAATAAATTATTTTTTATTACAAGAAATATTTTATTCAAAATAAAAAAAAAAAATTTATTGCGATATATTTTTGTAGGTTTTGAAATTATTTTAGATTTTTATAATATGTCGAAAATATATACAGAAATTTCTTTTTTATGTTATATTTATTATTTCATACACTTTAAGTAATAACAAAAATTTTAAGTTATTATATGAATATGTCAATCGACTGTCAATTTATATATAAAAAAAGTTATTACATTCGTTTAGAAATTTTATTCATTTGTTTTGTACAGTAAATTTCAAATAAATAATACATTAGAAAAGGTGTTAAAAMAATTATATTTTTTACAATTTTTGTCTTTAAAAAAGTTTCAAATCTAAATAAAATATGTAATAGACAATATATATAGTATATACTGTACTGTAATATATTTATACTAATAATTAGTTACTAGACTAATAAATATTAAAAATTAATAAACTATAATATATTGATAACATTAAAATATATTATTTCTCACACTAAACCTTAATTATGTTTTCAACAATTTAGTAAATATATAATGTATTCATAATTTATTTAATTCTACAGTAAGTAATAAATATTTTTGTTTTAATTTAAATATATTTCACATACAGTAATAAACATAATTATAAACCGTATAAATTTGTTTTATAAAGTTATTTGAATCAAAAAAATAATATAAATATATTCTCTTGATAAAATATCTTTTAACTTAATCATTTTTTTCATACAACAAAATTGCATGCATAATGTTTGTTTAAATTTGAAATAATTTTTAAAAAATATTATTAACATTCATATAAATATACATTTACTATTTAAATTATAATTTGAAATTTTTTTATAACATATGATTTTATTTTAGATAAATTGTTTTCAACTTATTTCATAACTATTTAATATATTTAAAAWTGTTATACGTGCTAAAAGAGACAATATATTAATAATATTTTTAAAAATATTTTAATAAAATTGATTTAATCTACCTGTTCTAATACTATATATATAATATTCATATAATAAATTAATATTTTATATATATATACAATATTTGCATATTAATAATAGACTTCAAAATATTATGAAATATTATMAATGTTTACATTARTTTTATGTATAATCATTAAATATAATAATTACATTGAATATAATAAATGTAAACTATATGCTATTATTTTATAAATTGAATTGAAATAATATGAGATAATATCATATAAAAATCTTTATTATATAAAAAATATTTATTTCTAAATTATAATAACAAGGATAAAAAATATATTAAAGATAATGTAGTTATTGTAAATCGATACTAAATGCTAAAATATACCTAAAAATATATTTATACCTGTATAGCATAATATGTACTTTTTATTATATTTATGATAACAAAATAACAACAAAAAATAATAATTTAATGAAATTAACGCAAATATAAACTATTCACTCAACAAATATTTAATATAAATATTATTTTCTTTGAGAGCAAACAAAAATTGTCGGCAAATAACATATATTTAGTTACATTGAAAATATATTATGACATGTAAAAGACTATGGCTTTAAGCAACAACAAAAAATAATTAATTAACACTTCAATGACTACCAGTTTTATAYTTGTAATCAATTTTGTCARTATGTTTGACACTGTTGTCATCAATAAATATAAAAAACAAATTTTATAGATTAAACAAAAATTTATTATTATTATTAGTAATCCTATAAATCGTCTATTGAAAATATGATAATATAGTAAAAACAACAACAAAAGACAAAATTAATAATTTAATTATTATATAACATGAAAACCGATTAATTTGAACTTATGATAAAACAATTTTTATAGACTTAATAATACTTATTATTAAAAAATTATATTAAATTATATATTATATATGGATATTAAAGTCAATGTAATATATATTTAATTATGCAATGATATACATTGATAACATATAAGTAGAAAATATTTAATGAATAGATATTAAATTTTCATTAAAATATTTGTTATTTATAAGCTTTTTAAAAATAACAAAAAAATTAGAATTTAGAGTTAAATCATTAGTTTCAAAAAACATTCAATAATTTTGTAATATTTATTGATATTTATAAAGCATAACAAAAATTTTTTTTTATATATTAGTAATATATTATAAAGTAAATAAACATATGTTTAAAATAAATTTTAAAAATTTAATGCAAACATATAATGGTTTAATAGATTGACATTAAAGCATATATTTGTGTAAATAAATGAATCAAATTCTTGAAATTTACTGACAATTACTTCTTTGACTCTTTTGAACCCTTTTTACGCTTTTTGTCATCTTTTGAGTCCTTTTTTGACACTTTTTTGTCATCTTTTGAGTCTTTCTTTGACCCTTTTGTGTCATCTTTAGACTGATTGTTCTTCTTTCGAGACATACTTCTGGTTTGAACACCATTTAATGTCTTTTCTGGTTTGCTCTTCAGTTTCAATCTTATTGTCGATGACTTCGCTTTTTTCTCTTTGGACTCAATTTTTATTTGTTTGTCACTTTCGAAATCATTTTTGAGATCACTTTTGGAATCACTTTTGAGACCACTTTTGGAATCACTTTTGGATCTGATTTTGAGACCAGTTTTTGGAGCACTTTTTGAATTAAACTTCAGATCACTTTTGGGATCACTTTTGAGACTAATGTTTGATGCAATTTTTGGAACACTTTTTGAATCAATTTTGAGATCACTTTTGGGATCTTTTTTGACACTAATGTTGTGATCAGTTGTTTTTAGATCACTTTTAGAACCAATCTTTGCTGAAACATCTTTTGGTTTGCTTTTTGATTTGCTTTTAATTTCAATTTTTGGTAAACTTTTTGTTGTTTTATTTATCGGAATTTTTGTTTGACTTTTGACACTCTTTAAAGTCTTGGTCTCATCCTTTGTCTCAGTCTTTGACTGAATCTTTGTTGCGGTTTTTATATCACTTTTTGATGCATTTTTCGGTACAGATTTTGGTCTCTTACTCTTTCGATCACTTTTTTCTAAATTTTTTGTATCATTTTTGTGGTCAATCTTTTTGTCTTTCGATTTATGTTCATCTCTGACGTTTGACTGCAATACTGGATCTGTTTGTGCTTCAGTTTGACTTTGGTTTTGATTGTTAGATGCATTGAGTTCATTGATAACTCTCTGTAAGTCATTTAACTGTATTCCCGTTCCCTCTGAAGCCAACTGACCGCTATATTGACGATTATCAGCTGACGAAGCGCTCGAACTACTACTTGATTGACTACTTTGTGGTGATGGACTGCGTGGTCGAGACCGATGTTCTGTAGTCGGCGGTGGCATTCCCAGTGAATTCATTAGTTCATTGACCTGATTCTGTGACATATTCATTATCCTGTCGTGAAGCTGTTGTCGCGGCAAATGTAACAATTCGTTAAARTCGATGGCTTCGTGATGATCATTGCTGACATTGCTATCATGGGATGCATCTCTAACCGGAGGGTTATTGAGATAATCGTTGATTTTGGTCACATAGTCGTCGTCTTTGTCCACTTTGGGCTCTTGACTCCAAAAGAACAGTCGTCTGTCATTGGATTTGAATTTGAGAACAAATACGCGGCCAGTCTTGCATTGACTTATTTTCTTGAACTCGATATCACCCGGAAATATAATCAGATCCTGTCCTCACATTTTAATAAAATAAAAATCAATTAATAAATCAATTGAAACTTAACTCAAAAAAACAATCAAAAATAACGGCTGATTTTACATCTTCTATATGACCGGTTTGTCTATCTTTCCAACAAAAGTGCATCAATTGATCGTCAGTTTGCTGGACATACAGTAGTCCTTTGCGCTCTTTTACCGGTTTTAACTAAATATTAAGTCAACAGAAAGTGGTTTTTTTTAAATACAAATCTTATATATGTTTGTGACYTATAATTATATACAAACCATCATTTTCTTAGGTCCAGTGCGTTCGGCAGTCATTTTGCCGGCCCTGAACTCAACCAAATACTGACTGACCGGTTGATGATTAACGCTATTGTTGCTGAAGAGCAATGGCGTCGACATAATGGTGTCGATAGTAGTAGACGTTAACAAATGAAGAAAAGATGTTACAAACGGGAAAACTAAATATAARATTTTATTTTTCCCAAATTAGATGGTTTGAACCCTATTCTTAAAAAAGTRATRAAAGTCTATTTTTTTGAGTCAATTAGCAAAAAATAGTTGAAAATTATCCTCTAATTTGTCGACAGAAAACAGAAGTGAATTCTGTTTTCAAATCAAATAGAAATTCAAAATGAAAATCAAATTTTTGAAACAAAAATCGCGTGATTAAAGTGCTTAACAATGATTTTTTTWTATATATAATTCWGTAATAAAAGTATTTAATAAAAATTCATTTGAATGCAAATCTTTTAATGATTTCAAACTAAATTTTTATTTAATAATTAATATTATTAAAATTATTATACTTATTACATAAAATAATTTACAATTAATTTAAAAAAGTAATATCAGTATTCAGATAAATATCAAATCAAATATAATAATTTATATCACAATATCAAATATAAATCATGTCTTACAATGTGATAGACTAGAGTATGGATTTGAAGTATATTGTAATATACAGGTATTATAGTATAATTTATTTTTGATAATATTGTAATAATTACCAATTATTAATAACAAAATATAGATTTAATAAAATGTACAATTTTTTAGTGAAATAATATACAGAACCATTGTATATAAATTATACTAATTAGGTGTAAAAATAAAAATAATWAAATAGCTTAAATCAACAATTTAATATTTTAATAAATGCATTAAAAATAATTTCTCAGTAAATTTGTTTCAACAAAATTATTGCTATTGTGGTTAATAATCAAAAAATAATAATAATTATTTACAAATATTATTAATAAATTAATATCAATTGTTTGACTAATTGGTTACTTTAAAAATATATATTTAAAATACAATTATATTATATAAAGTCATTTATGAAACAAAACAAAAGATTTTTTTTTAATTATTTTGTTTGTTGTCGTCAATGATTGCTATCTTTCATGTCTTCTCTGGCCTTCATAAGCATACCGAACATTGTAAGGGCCAGTAGTTTATCGAAGCCATCCATTGATGTCCTCTGAATCCATTTGGGTATTGTTGTGCGCGCCTGTAGTCATCAAAAAAATAAATAATAATTTTAAGTTATTGTAATAAACAAATAAATAAAAATAATTGTAATATCAATAATAAAATGTCAACAACTGAAAGATCTATTRAGAAGATTKAATACCTGACTGAAGCCAAGTCGCTGAAGAATATAGTCGACACCGTAGGGCTCGATGTTCTTTCCGGCCCATGAAAGCAATCGCACCGTTGGCTCCAAATGCCATACCTAAGTGGGTATATATATATATTATACTGTATATCAATATATATGAGATTAATGACAAAAACACTTTTTTTGTCAAWTTTGTATTTTTTTGTAACTCTACTAAACAGTAAATCCTAATTATAAAGTCATATATATATATAAAGTACTACTCATTTTAAATGAATCATTGATTTCATTAGTGATTGTGATTTACTGTTCAATACAAGTATAGTCTAAATAACAGGTCATTTATAGCTTCAAATAGAGAGTCTATACTATAGACWCTATAGTAACTACTAGTGTATAGAAAGTCTATAAACACTAACTGATTGTAAGATTAAAGAGTASTTTATATAACAAACAGTAGTTTTAATGCAAAAGTTTTGTGTCTAAACTAAATAAAAAAAGAAAATAAAAGTCATTTGAAGTGACACTTGAAAGACAAGATATAAGACAAATATTGTCTCTTAAAACATGCCATTTGTTTATTATTTTGACACCAATGATGGCATTCAATGACACTAAATGTGATGAAACATTGCAATACTCACGTGACAGACAAAGTCTCGCCAATCGCGTTGAATGGCTTCAATGGTGTCGGCAGTGGTCGCACCGCCGCCGGCCGCAGCGTTGGCCTTATGGCTGCGTTCGGCACTCGGCGAGTGACTCTTCATGATGTTTATGTCCTTTTCGGTTATGTAAGARCTGATCAACTCRTGCAGGAAGAAGTAGGCCTCGGCGTCCACAGCGACCAGAATGTGGTCGTCAAARTCGGACACAAAAGTACAATCAACTGTTGGCTTAACGTCGGGAACTGTCGGTGTCATACATGCCTGAAGGTGTTCTGTCTTGAGCTCCAATTGCATACTTGGAAACGCAAAAATCACTTCCTGTGTGTGATGATAGTCACCGCTGGTCTTAGGACTGGACGACGCGCGTCTATCCCTCGTCTGTCCCGATCCGAGAAAGTAGTCGCCGGTCGACGCAATCGGAGTGCCAAAAATGTCCATTTCAGTGACGGTTCCCATAGCGGGAAAACGGTTCACGTCGTCAATCTCTGACGCTCTGAACGCGTATTCAAACCACTCTTTCATTTGTCTGAATTGCGGCGGAAATGCTACGTCTCTCGATATCTTGCAAACGGTGGCCATTGTTCGGCGAACCTTTTGTTCACCGCTTTGTCGGCCCAACAAAAAAGACAAGTTTTGTACGACATGTGTGTCCAAACTTCCAGTTTCGTTGACAATACTTTGAGCTTCGGTGGCAAACGATATAGAGGGCTGTTTGAGACTAAAAGTTCCCCAACTCTTTGACCGAAAGTTGATGCCATAAAAGCAGGCAAGAGATATGTTCTGTGCGTTCAACTCGAGAGTACCGCCCAATATTGTCCCGTGAATTGGCARCGGATTAGGTAATGTTGACAACTGGACGCCCGACACCAACCTTAACGCCTTCTGCCAGTGTCGGTGATGACGAACATCGCTTGTGAACACATTTTCAGTTGATTGCTGTTGAGGTTGTGTTGTGTTTGCATTCAATTGTGGCGATCCGTTGCTAACACTCTGTCCTCGTTTTCCCCGACTCTTCATTGACTGTCTGTTGAATGTYTGAAGTGAAGAAAAAACTCTTTTGCTTGAATGGAATTGTTGGGCAAAAAATTCCTCTAATTTGGCAACAATTTTTATAAAGTCCGGTGTCGTCGACTTTGATATCAAGATCTGCATTTGATCCCAATTGAGCACTCCGTGAATGAATATAAGCGCCGGACGTTTAGTCGGATGTGACGATGGATTATAATCTTTGCTCAAATCGATTCGCCACTCATCGCGCAAAGTAATGTCCAAATCTGAGACCCGAAGCATCAAAATACTAGTTCCCATGTAATCAATTCGCTTCTCCAACGTATGCAATGAACAGTTCAGTTGATGTTCCGGTTCACTGCCTTTCACTTCATTAACGGACAGTTCGGTGTTAATCTGACTCAACTCAATAATRCCGCCAACGATACCTCCCTTAGCGTCAAGTGTCGAACCGTCCAAAGTTAGACTCATTTTATAACTCTTGTGTCCACTCGAGTCAATAGATATGCGACCTTCCGATCGTAGACCGCGAGTCAACCAATTGGTATTTCCCATAACATTCCCCATATTCATAGTTATACTCAATTTTGAGAGATTCACAGTAAACAAGACTAATGTTTCCCACGGATTGGCCGCAGAGGTTAACACATCACTTCTTGATGAGTGCTTATAAATTTTGCGACGACTCGTCTCTTGTAAATTAAGCCGAAGTCCTTCACGACTGGCCATACCTTCACTCTTATGCGCCGTACGAACAGTGGTTGTCGTTTGACTGGACTCTTCAGAGCTCGTGTCCGATAAGTCTTTGTTATCGGAAAAGTCATCCTCTTCCTGATCGCTAAATATAGCATTGATGGTGTGGTCGCCAATGAATATACGCTTCCAAATCGACTTGCGATACCAGGCCTTTGGAAAGGCTAATATCTCATTCAGRCGTCTCATGTCGTACTTGAACGACGCGGAACCGATGTCGCAAATGGCGGAAAAGCGAAACGTGTGCGCTGTTGAGTCACTGATAGACAGTTTACGTCCTCTTGAAATATTGATTTTGACGAACTCCACCTGAAGACTGAGCGAATCTTTACGATCCGATGACGATTCGGCTGATGTCTTCTTTTGGCCGCCGTATGGATGAAAGATATATAGAGAAAAGTCGGCCAAAATTGCTGTTATACTYAAACCGCCCGACGATGAAGTACTTGTTATCGAATCCGATGACTTATCGGCCAACTTCTGTGCATATCTGGCATATTTAGGTGGCGAACATTGACCCGATTGTAACTGTTCCTCATCCGATCGTTTCGATGACAAAACCAAATCAATTGACGGCAAATGAAGTAAACATTCTACTCGTGAAACTGGAAGGCAACAGAAGCGCACAACTGTCGGCTGGACATGAATTTTGACAATAATATCGACTGGAAATGATGCATATGTGGCATATTGTGCCGGAACTGGTGGTGTGTTACTGTCACCAAATGTGTTTGGCGTCGACGATAACGTTGGCGTTTTCATTGGTAAAGTAATGGGAATCGGTTCGAGTGCCTGCTCTAAGAAATCTAAAATGTTTGGACTGATGAGTGTCTCATCTGGAATGCTGTGCAATGTTATCAACGAAAACAGTGTCGCCTTCTTTGATGGCAGTCTTTTGGCTGCCGACGATTGATTRTGACCACTGGTTCCACTTGTGTCCAACTCGGACGGCGATCTCATCGATTGTTTGTCAAATGGTTGTTGAGATGACTCGTCAACAAATGTTTTGGAATTGTAGTGAAGTTTTATGTCGAGTCCGGGTATTAGAAATACAGTGAAATCGGCAATTTGTCCGCCAATATGATGGGTCGACAATTTSAGGCGATTTGAAGATACGTTTGGTTTTAATGCGGTGTTCGTCGAGTTTTTACTTAACTTATGATTTGGCGGACGATTTTTATTGATGTGATTGGGAGACAATAGTGAGTCATATGGACCGCCAGAAAAGCTTCGCTCTTTTTGCATCTTTTTGGCCGAACTCTCGTCCTCTTTGASCGTTTGGTCTTTCGTATGTAAAACACATTTTCCCGAATTGAAGAATATCTTGACGTCGAACTCAAAATCAATGTTAGGTTCCGATTGATAGCTCTGTTTAGTGGCCGACCGCTCGGCATTGGATGAGCCAATACTTTCGTCAAATTCCGACGAAAAGCTGCCCTGTTTTCGGTTATCAGAATCACTGAAATAAACAACACATTGAATGGTATGGTTAGTCCATAATAATAATAATGATTTTTTWWAAAAAAATTATGCCAAACCCTCTCAARTTTTTAGTAATCATTGGAATCTTGAATTCRGACGCAGAACTCGGTGTTTGTTCCAAACTCGGCGACAATGCAATATCACCACTAGATTCACTAATTGACGAACTGGTCATCGAAGCAGCCGTTAGACTCATTGGTGAGTCGAGTGTCATCTGTTTGAGTGTTTTCGGGATCGGAATACTAGCAGATGTTCTACAATGAAAAAAGAGAATAACATCTTATAAAATGTGTTTTAGTTAACAAATGAGTTATCTTTACTTAAGTTTAGAGCCAAACTCGAGCGGTGTATCTAAAGAGTGTGGTTTGAATGATGCCGTAGGACTTGAAGGCGAGTCTTCGCCAGAGTTTTCATTGTATTCATTTGTCTCATTATAGCTGTGCAACGATTTGCTAAACATTTTGCCGCCGATCGACATCTTGTCTTTGAATGACGACTGTCGAACACTCGGACGACGAAGCTTTTTGATGACATCGCGACGGAAATTGTGAAACACTGCGTTCTCGAGTTCTTGAAGACGTTGCACTTCCTGTTCGATTGTTGTATGACTGGCACCCAATTGTCTTAAATCATTGATAATCTTGACCTGTTCGTTGAGTTCTTTTTCCATAATTCTRGCCTTTTTCTTGTTATCGGACGTCTCCTTCAACAGTGAACCTCTTCTAAGATCAACTCCCGATGGTTTGCCTTTATCTTCTTTAAGATCAGTCGACTCTAGATCTGGTTGTCGTTCATCGTTCGCAATGTTTCCGTAATCGATAGTCGATATGTCGACGTCGTCCTCGTCTTCATCGCCGGCAATAGCGGTCATTGTTTTGAAAAGGGCTGAAAAATGTTTGCCAATCGATGTGTCGAAGTGTATGTCAAAGCCCTCCATTTTCCACGAGACATTCAAAACCCATTTGGCATCACTCGGGTTCTGATGGGATGTTATAGTACGCGAACAGATATCATACGTGCCCTCAGAGACTACACAAAGGTTCCGAATGTTTGGATCACTGCTRTCGGGCTTCCAATCGTCGAGTGAGGTCTCAAAGTCGTCTGCAAAACGGATACACAAACCGGTAAACTTTCCTTTACTGACGAGTGACCCGCAAGAACAGGCGCTGATCTGTGTGTTCTCCAGTGTYACCACCAATGCGTCCTTCARTTCCGAGTCGTAGCCTTTACTTTGGTTCAGTGCCGATATATTTGGGTTTGTTATCGGAAGACAAACACCCAAATCATTGACAGTTAATTGAAGAAACAGTGTTCCKATTGTTTGGGAACCCATTTGCGCTATTGGTTGCACTTTACCGAAGACTTGTTGAGTAGCCAATACTACTTCAGAGTTAAGATTGGATCGCTGTTCTGTCCAATACTCGTAAGCATTTTTATAGTTAAGCCAAACGAGTACTGCTTTATCTAAAGCCATCGGTTGTATGAATATCAACGGTCGATGCAATTCAATGAGCACCGCCTCCTTGTCCTCGGCATCAGTATTGATGACCATTTCGTCCTGAAGAGCATTTCTCATACAAATTCTAGTTTTAAAGTACGCTAACTGTTGAAACTCGGGTTCCGCCTCTTCAAACATRGCATTCCTGATGAGCTGACCCAATGCTACGTTTAGATCGACCTGTAATTTGATGAATAACTTGAGATTAAGATCTTTGGTCGACATATTCTGAACTCTATTAGACAACTGTAGCTCAACTAAACCGGTTTCCARCCGTACGGCACTGTTTGTCGGTGTTGTGGCCGTTATCTGAATGCCTTTCAGTCTTAAATGYAAYGAAAAGAGTACATAACGTGATCGTCGGTTYTTATCGGTRCCAAATAGTAGTTCTTCGTCGATRATTTTTGTATCGGTTCCCGACATCTTCTGTACCACTTCGTTGACTTCTTTCATAAAAACTTTCTGAACCAGAAGTAAATGGTTGAGTAGATCTGTAGTAAGACTGTGTTCGAATGAACCGATATCTGCGGTGGCGTTCAGATAACTTCCTTTTCTTAAGACAATTCCTTCRGAAGCAAATGATTCGGAACGTGTGGCTCCTCCTCCGGCACACTCTTTGTTCAGATCTTCAATATATTCGGCTGAGACATGAATTGGTGGCAATTCGACGTTCGCTGAAGACGGTAGGTTGGCTTCGGTGGGAAGTACTTTTGTATTAAAGCTTAACGTGTGCTGATGAACATCGATGACAAACTTTGCTTTATTGCCAGTAATACCATTACTGGTCACTCTGTCCATCTGATACTGTGCCCGTAACGATGGTAACAGTGAGGCACCGATTGTAAACGATTCCAATATGACACTGAACTGAACGACAATCGGTTTAATTAATTGTTGSGGTYGTTGCTGATCAGTCACTGCATCTAAAACTATACTCTCGACCATATCATCGGCGGRAAACATTTTCGGCGTTTGTTGAGTCTGTTGTCCGTACGATGAGGTCATAGTTTCGGTGTCCATCTGCTGTCGCGATAGTCTTGATGGCTGTCGTGATGACCGTAACTCTTGCAATGTTGTCGATAGTTGACGTCCCGATCGGGTCATCATTCCGTGCAAAGCGACCGGATGTTGAGGAATGTCAATCATTATGGGACCGATTGTCAACAGTGCAGAGTTGGCGTCCTTTCCYTTTCGGTTTTGACAAGAGATAAGTGTTTGTGACTTTCCGATTGTCATTTTAACCACCAATTGATGACTCGGAAGCATTTCTTCTAACAACGAAACACTTGTGTGGCCTAACTGTCCGTTGAGTGAMGATTCAAACCATTTTTTGGTTCCGCGACACTTCTGTTTGTGTGTTACACTCACGTGAAACGCCGACAATTCGGCCTCCAATTTGAGACCACTAAGCATTGCCAACAAACCTACACGTCTTATCTTACAAACACCGAACACAACAATCGGTGTCCATTCACGTTGTATGAGAGCTGTGGTAAAGTTTTTCAACTGATCACTGGACACAACATTTGTAGCCGATCTTCGGTGAATTGTCTGTGTGTTCATTGCATTATTGTTTACCTTTTGCTGCGGTATTGGCTGTTGTTGTGATGGATTCAGTTCTTCCAATTCAATCGAATGATTCTTCAATGGTTCGTATCTACCGCTGCCCTTATAGTCTCCCTCATCGATCTGTATCTTAGTTTCGGCAACTGGTGGTCCCGTGTGTATCAGTGAACTAACCCGTTGGATGACAGTCTTGGTTTCTGGTTTAGTCTCGTACAGATCTAACAAGTGATACATCGTTTTCCAACACTTTGGTTGAACCAACTGTTCTCTCAATTGGACTGGATCTTCGCCCACAAGTGTTTCATCATCTGAATCCAAATCTTCAGGTATAGAAATGGCCACTTCTTCCTTATGTTTAGCTATATGTTCGATAAACGGTTCGTTTTTATAGCTAGCACTGGAAGGCGTCCGACTGGTCGTATCGGTCTCAGATGTCCTCAGTTTGTATTTATCTAAATGCAGTCCTTCTCTAATCGATTGGACTCTATTGGATCGCATCTCCATTCGGGTCTCTTTTACGGTCTCATACATAGCAGTGAATTGATGTAATAGTCGAAGAAGTGGTAAATTAACTCTTTGTTCGATACAATTGACGTCAACATTGAAGTTGATTAATGTTGTCGTCTGACTCAAGCCGTCCGGACCTACGATGACTATCGAACAGACTTTGTTATCCTTTTGTTGACTACTTTCAGATTTCTCAAAATCTTTTACTTTTCGTAAATCAAACTCAACTCCCAGTCCTTCACAAACAAAAGCAGAAATGTCTAAACTGTTATCAACGTTAAGCCGATTTTTATATGGCGACGAATTGGCCTCAAAGTTGACAACTTGTATCCTATTAGGCGACAATAATCCTCGCGATGGACTTCGGCTACGATTTGGCGATTTTCTGGTCTCAGACTCAACAATATCGATCTTAAAGAGTTTAATTCGACCGCAAATCGACACTTTGGTTCCCAATTGGCCGAATTCGAGACACGAAGTGCTGTCCTCTTCGATCGGTGTTTTGCTGAGCGACGCTATAAACGGATGAAAAATTTCGCGAACGTCACTCATCTGAGCCACTGTTGGCAGAAAAGATACGTCGTGTGCCGCCAACTGTCCCGTATTGTTCATCTCATTGTCGGTACTGTTCATTGAATTCAATGTATTGAGTTTCGAGTCGTGATCCAAAAGCGGTGCCGACGTCTTGCGCAAAGAATTGGTAAGATTTGTAACATTTTTCATGTAATCCTGTTGGCGAGCCATCCACCAATACAGATTCTCATCACCATAATTATCATTGACGCCATCAAATTGTGTGTCACCGATTAGCTGATCCATTGGCAAAGCATTATTATTATTGGTTGGCTCGAGACTGGACAGCGTTGACTTAAGACTCATTTGGCTTTCTTCGCGTTTTACAAGTCGAGTGCCACTGTTCTGACTATTCGGCGAAAACAAGTATTCATAAGCCTTGTTAACACCGGTTCCGATGGTCTCAAGCGGTGCTGTTATTAGTGGCGGAATAGTGATGGATGCGCGGGTAGATCGAGGAAAGTATGATTGAATGACACTAAGTTTGCGTTTGGCATTAGAAGACTCGATATTTGAACTATCATTTGGAAAGCTATCACTATCTGATGATTTATTATGTTTGTTTCGGACAGTTATCTCAATTTTTCTATTGCCAGACACCACATGATTTTCACCACTGGTTGTCATATTATTTTCTGCCAACAGTTGAGTAGTTTCGTCATTGATTTCTGTGTCTTCATCACCCGAATCTGTTTCCACTGATATTTGTTTCGACTTTTCCTCTAAGAGTACACGCAATGGATGTTTGTCACCCTTTCTTATTCGAAGATTTTGTTGTATAAACAATGGCATATATAATGCATTCTTCCATTGACGACAAAGTGCGACAATACCTCTCTGAAGATCCGATAGCAACGGAAGTGTTTCAACTTTGAGATTCATTTCAAATTCATCGCTCGACTCAAACGAGTTGTAGTACCGCCTAATGGCTGAAACCAATTGACACGACGGGTCGTCCTGTAATGACTTCGCCAACGGTGTGAACAAACGCGACAAATGTTTACTCTGTGGCGGAATGTGAACGCCTTTCACTTCAAGACCGCATGTCATCAGACAGACAATTACTGAATTGACTCTTTGTTCGCTCATTCGCGACAAACATTTTGCCGAAAGCATGAGACGATCGCCAACACTGACCCACGCGCTGATCGATGGCGCGGCCGAACTCAACAGATGCCAATCTAAACGCGTAAAATCAATTTTACGAGTATTCGGTGTCTTCGGTGGCGCCGCAAAGTTAAACCATATGGTAGACACTTCTGCGACACCAGACGACGAATGACTCGACTCCTGAATTGTTTCGATATCTTGTGGCCGAACAAACTCATGAGGTTTGTTATCATCCGATTCGTTATTACTGTCATTAGGCTTAAGATCGACAAATTTTTCTTCATTTTTCTTGACTTTAACACCTTTGATGTTAATATCTTCAATACCGCACTCAAACATAATAAATCCCAACAGATGTTCCTCATCGGTTGTTCCGTCAGCACATGACTGTACTTTCAAAAAGATATCACTGTTTGGCTCGACATCCGAAACACAGTCCTGACGTTGCAATGGCTTTCTATTGTGTCGTGAGAGCCGAGAACTACTGTCCGATTCGCTGATTCCCGAAGACAACAAACGATTTACTTTGAAGTCTACTTTACTATAACGACAGGGAATGACAGTCAGTATAGCATCCTTTAAGATAGTGCTGCTATTTTTGAGGCGAGACAACTGCATGTGCACCGACTTGACTGAAGCCGTGGCCACTGTTTCCTCGAGATTCGTATCAACCGTTTCGATGGTCAACGACTCGATTTCTGACAACTCTTTTTTAGGTTTTTTGCCGAAAAATCGACTCATTAATGCTTTTTCAGTGAATGACAGATTGGATACTGAACTTTGATCCATAAAAGTGTGAAGAGTTCTGCGCTGTTTAATGTGATTTGAAGAAAAAAATGTAATATCACTGATGGAMGCCGTCATCACTGACACACAAGTCAGGTCTTTAATGTTGTCGAGAGCCGCAAATGAGATCAATTCTTCAACAATAGACGCCTGCATTAAGTTTATATTGATTTTATTGATATAGACATATGTCAACAATTTGAATGTCTTGGCCTCTTCCAGCTGATTGGCCACCAGTGATGTGTCCTTACTATCAGTCACTCGACGATTGTTTTGCTTTTGACTTTGTCTGCGAATCAATGTCTGCCACGCCTTGACATTCAATTGTCCCAAATATAACATCTTCTCTTTTTTGAGTTTATTATTTGCTTCGACTTCATTAAGACAATTGAGATTCACATGATTTAACACTGATATCGGATGAAGCGATGCCATCGTTGGTGTTATGCTATCGATAAATGATTTCATGCCTTCCAGTGATAGTGGAGACAGTTTGATGTCGATTTCATTGTTCAATTTGACCAGAAGTGTCACTTTTTCGAAAACCATTTCTACATTTTTCAATATGATTTCATCAGATTTCTTATCAGTCGATTGCTTGTTAACATCATTGATGTCCGATTTGCCACTGTTTTGGCTTAAATTCTTGTCCATTTCGAAAAACACCGAACCGGGTATGAAATCATTTCTAACAAATGAGCCGCTCTTGTCATCTCTCGAGTCGTCTTTTCTTGTAATTTTCAGACACGAAAATCCTTGCGAATTGAGTCTAAATCTTGGTCTCCAAAGAGATTTTCTTAGAAACCAATCTTTAGTAGTTATATGAGATGGTGTGAAATGTGGAACTGGAGGCGGAACGTCCCAATTATAGGAAACGTATTGCGACAGATGTGCTGAATATGATGACATCAAAAGAGGCGAATCGGGTATCGGTTTCTCGATTTGATTTCGAAGATCAACGAGAGCTAAATCTTCATGTGATGAAAGGGCTGATATGAAAGAATTGCTTGAATTAACAGATATTGTGTCACCCTTTCGTTGTTTATCATCGCCAGTAAGTGTCACCGACTCGGATGTCGTACAACTGTAGTATTGAGTGGTTGACTCACTATTAGGATTTCCCGGTTCTGCGGTATGGTATGAATCGCTGCTCGCAATGGGCGGCACTATAGCTGATGTGTCCGAACTATTAGTGGGAGATTTGGCAGCATTTGACACATCTTCAGCTGAAAARTATCGCTCAGAAGCAGATGAGGCCGACTCTAWTGACTTCGTTCGGAACACTTCTGACTCATAGGTGGGAGAGTTTGGCTCAAAATCCACTCTTTTGTTTGTTTCAGAGTTTTGTTGACTTTTAATGAGATCCAAAAATTTCTGTGACTTTTGTATATCTTCGATAGCATTGCCAGTTTCACTCATACTTCGATTTCGTCGAAAAACATCTTCAGCTGAATCGCTAGACAAGTGCTCTCTTTTGTTCTGCGATGGTATTCGAAATGAAGCCGACTTTGATGGTGATCTTGGCTGTAGTGGTGATAAATCTTTAGGCATTAGAGGTGATGTCACTGACAATGTATTGCTTGATGTTTGTGTCGGTACTGTCAACTGTCGCGACAAAAATCCATACTTAAAACGTGCCTTAAGTTCTGTTCTGCTGTCACTCATGGACTCGGAAACAGATGGTGAAAATGGTTCCTCAAAAAATGGCACCAAATCTAATAGTTCTTCATCGCATTCGTCAGTATCCACTCTTAAACCCAACACATACTCTCCTCTATGAAGTAAACTTTCACCAAAAGCCAGATCTTTATTTTGATTGATGTCTTCATAAAACTTATTGATTTCACTTTCTGTAGTATTGGTATCACGTTTGGCCACATTAAAGAAATAAAGACCACTTTTATTGCTACCGAAAAAAGTCGATCCGCCAACACATCCGCACTTTCCGACCAAATGTGACGGCAATACATTTGGTTCGTTCTGCCAGAGAAACCATAAACGTTTTGTTTTCGTATCGTGTGTCTTGAGAAACGTGTCCTGCGATTGGGTATAGTTGTCCACTGATGACAATAACGAAGCCGCGTCCACAAACACCGGTCCCACTGACAGTGTACTGACTTCCAGCCAATGTGTGGCTTCTCGGGTCAATGAAAGACGAGATTTTGCACTATTGCTTGAGCTTAGAGTATGAGGCGCTGTTGTAGTCCTAACAAACTGTCGCAACAATATCTTATTTATGAGAGCAGTTACGCCAACAGACGTGTGACAACTGTGAATATTGCACATCGAAAATTTGATTGGAATCAATTGGACACTAATGGCCACATTGGACTCAACGATATAGACATCGATGGCGTCAATAGACAATCTAACCATTTTGTATTTGAGATCCTCGGGATACGGACATAGTTTGGTAACTGTCGACTGTGGACATACCGATTGAGTTAAGTCGTGTAGACATTTCTGATAGGGAAACGGTGGCTGAAGAGAACTATCTGTTTGCAGTACTTGCAGTAGGATTGTCTCTAACGCTGTGACAATGTGTTGCGTTTGAGGTAGTGTTAGTCTTCCGGCAATATCGCCGAGCTGTACGTCCACCAGCCAAGCGTACTCAAGTGTATCACTCACGAGTGGTCTGTTCACACCAGAGAACATGGCGTGACCTCTGAACTGAAGTGACGACAGAGTGAGAAAMCCGTTTTTTAAATGAGAATTATTGTCGTCTCGTTGCTTGACATCAGTTGATATCAGAACTAAAGGTGCTATCAATAGCTGAAGTTTTGTTTCACTGTAAGTCTTGTGTAATTCAAAGCACAACTTTTCGGTATAAATTGAAGGACAGGGAGGATCTGAATCATTACAACACTTCATTAGATGCGCCTGAATGTCATGCAATGCCACCGAAACTGTTACTTCAAATGGACGATATATACGGGCATCAAATGGTTTGAACTCCATTTCCATGTGATCAGTGTTAGTCATGTCTGTTCTACTGGTTTTGGTCTTAATCTCMGAAAACTTTTCGAAAAATGTCGATATATTGCAACTCAGATCAGCAAACTCTTGACATTCGCCTAAATAATTTTCTTTGATATCCCAAAGCATACGAAACAGTGTACCGAACAATCCTATAACTGACGGCCCGATTTCCAACTCGACTGCTATGATATCCGGTTCCATAAGCAATGGATCAAAATCGTCGGGAGCGGTACACAAATGTTTTGGCGACCGATTTGGACGCAATGGTGATAACAATATGTCTTCCATTTCAGGTGTTGTCACTTCATTTTGTTTCGGTGTATATGATTTAGGCGGTATCGGCCAATACTTATAGGAAATATTAAGCGCAACTATCGGTGTTGTCCAACACTCGTACCAATTATTATCTCTGGAAACAATATTCCTCCACTTCCTATCATTCGTAAACAGATTGGACGTAAGACAAGTCTGTCCGTCGCGAGACGCTATTTTGGCGTATCGGTGAATTGCATCGACAATATCCCGATGGACACTACTTTCCGGCAAATAAAATGCYGCTTCGAGTCCTTCGCCTTGAATCCAGATCTTCACGTCAACAGTCGGCGGCAAAAACTCTACAAACGGTAAATCGAAAGTCATGTCAAATATTTCGCCACTGATGGCCAACTGTGAATTTTCTCCGTTCAAGTTTGTCGAACAGTCGATCCAATTGTATTGGTTGGCCTGAGTTAGTAACTCAAATTCTTTGAGTACAACCGATATCCTGACAGTGTAGGGCACAAACTTCATTATATCGGGTCTGGCTTTTCCGGCCCAGTCCTCGATCAATGAATGAAAGAATAGTTTGTGTGCATATATTAAGTTAACTGTTGCCTTACAACCGGTTAAACTACAGGTCCATAACTGGTGTTCATTCCAATAGCGAGGATAAGCTATTTTAACGTCAAACTCGAGTGTTTCGCTTAGAGCCAGTGGACGAAAATCAAGACTAGTTGTCGCATCCAAATGCATGATCTGTCCATTAATATGTGACACATAACCCGATTCCGAGTTAACCCACGGAATGTTGATTTCCAGATAAGATCCRGGACCGGCATTCACGTGCAAAGCACTGGTCTCCTTGTCCTTCGAGAACAATACATCTATCTTTGCGTCGTATAGCGTACTGAGCCTAATGTCAAACGACTCAAATTCACGCAATTCTCCAGCTTTCGGTCGTTTGGATATTTCCATCGGCCGATAGTCCGTCGGATAAAAGAAATTATACAATAATTCTCGTTGTCGGTCAGCCCACGGACCGTAACTAAAGTCAGTGCCTTTTCCACATTTGACGACAAGACCCCAGGCCGGTGATGTAAACTTTTCGATAGTATCTCCATTGGCCAGCTCTAACTTTTCTGGTTTGTCAGACGCCAATCCTGGCTCGTCTTGATAGTAGTAGATATCGACTTTATTGCTCTGAAAGACAACAAAACCTTCGCCCATATAACGGGGCGGTTCATCGCTGATACCCATAAATTTAGGACTGGGCACTAATATCACTTTCACGTGTTCGGCTTTGCATTTGGTTATATGGGTAAACAGATCGTGCGGTGAAATAGCCGGTCGTGTTGTGTAAACAAAATGAGACTCTTCAATGACCACTGATAATGTGCTGGGGATCAAGTGATTGCCGAAAACAAAACGACCGGACGTTATCTCGACTTTAGTGACGGGAATCAAATCGCGCCATTGACTGGCTTTCACTTCGAGTTTGGCGTCGTTTATGCTGTCAATCAGCGAATTGTTGCCGACGTCTTCATCGGGATCGTTGTCAAAGTCGTTGAGTCTTGAAGGCAAACCAAATAGTTTTTCCAATTCTTTGTACCGTTTGGTCCGGTTATAGACATGCAATTCGAGACCATTTAGTAGTACAAGAAGTCGGACCTCGGAGTTTGAAAAATCTTCGGTTCGTACGTCTTTTGGTGTATATGTCAACCACCAGCGAAACACAAACCTATTAATTCATGTCATTATTAATTAAAAATTACAGTAATTAGAAAAAAAACTRTTTCTTAATATTGATATATCAATTAGCTATCATACCATCCGTCTTGAATTCTGATGGAATAGTCATCAGTAATATAAACAAAATCTCTGAACATAAGTTTGCCCGAAATGGTGGCCACCGATATAGAGCCCACATTGAAATAGCCGTTTTTAACGAAAAATTGATTAACAATTCGCGATATAATGAGACCAATGACTCGCGAGTTATAAAAACAAAGATAACAGACCCAAACCATCGCTAATATCCATATAATAAACGGATAGAGATTTCGCCAGAAGAAGACCAACCAATCAGTCCAATCGGCTTCCCGTATGTTTGGCGGCTCTATATATGGCATATCATTGTTGTTGGTGTTGTTGACTACCAAATCGATAATCTCTTTGACATTATCGCTATAATTAACAAAATAATTGTCGGATCAATTAGTTTATCAAATGTTTTTTTTCTTGTAATCACATACAGTATGCTTTTGCCGTTGGTATCGTCGCCGCCGTTTGTGGTCCTCATCTGTGGACTGTCATCAATGGTGGTCAATGTCTTGTGCGATGACATCGTGATCACCGGAAATCGTTTGATGACTACTTCATATAAGTTTTACATATATATATGGTTGGGATCTGTTAATTGATATATAATCAAGTATTAGTTTTTTATTAATTAAATCTCATTTAATAATAATGATTTGTTACCATTGATTGTTTGGTGATATATATCGCGATTGACCACAAATGTGAAGATATGCATATGAAGACAATTATGTATAAATATATAAATTTAATTTTTTTAAAAAAACAATTGTAATAATAATTGTTATAATAAATAGTGAAATAATTAGTTTGTTTGTTGTGTTATGTTATAAATGATATTAAATATCAAATATAACATAAAATACTAATCAGTAATCATTTATCTGATATTAACAACACTTGAATAATAATAATAATAATAATAATAATAATAATAAATGTAATGATATATCATTAGTATAAATGTTACTTGATAATTTTAAATAAATAAATAATTATTTGTTTACTAAAAGAATTTATGAAAATATTAAATTAAATGATCAATGTAAAATTATATGTTTTATTTATTTTTAAAAAAAACATGTCATTTAAATGTTTGTTTTGTTTTGAATGTGTGTTTGTCGGCAACCCTACTGTCAGACACACACAACATGTCATAACATGTAATGAATCAATAATGTAATAAAAGTTTTTCGGTCATTGATTTAATTATTATTTTCTATTATTTTCAATAAATTAAATTATTATTATTATTATTTATTACTAATATTTTAAAACTTATTAGTAATACATTAGTCATTATATTTATTTGTAGTTTAATTAATGATAATATTTAATGCATTTTAACCTTAAACTGAAACCTTTATAAACATAGATTGTATTACAAATAATAAATACAAATAATAAAAACTCTCGAAAATATTGACAACACATAAACAGCTGATCATTGACTGCATGTGTTTGACTGATATATGATATCATAAATTAATTGATTATTAATTAATTAATTTGAAGACCAATCTTATGAAACATACGTGTAATGTCTCTTAGATATGGATTAGATATACTTTGTGGCCGATATTGTGCCACCAATTGACTGGCGGATCAATTAATTTGATTGTTGACCTCGTTTTTTTTATCCCAAATCACTGATGATGTCATCAATGACAACAATGTGGTCATCGATGATATCAAATGTCATTTTTATGGCATTTATTACGATTAGTATTATGAAAGTGATGTCATGTCTGGACAACGGTCTGTGTCTGACACCGCCGATGGGTTGGCTGTCGTGGGAGCGCTTCGGCTGTAATGTTAAGTGTCATATCAAACCCGATGACTGTATTAGGTTTGTGTCCACTTTTTTGTTGTTGATTTTTACTTTTACTAAAGATTTATATTTTTAATTATTATTTTTTAGTGAGAAGTTATTTAAAGATATGGCTGACAGACTTGTCAGCGATGGTTATCGAGAAGTGGGTTACAATAGGATCAACATTGATGACTGTTGGATGAGCCGATCCCGTACAAAGGACAAGAAGCTATTGCCCGATCCCAAGAGATTTCCAAATGGGATCAGACATTTGGCTGATTATGTAATTTCATAATTTTACAATTTTATAAAGTGATGAACAAATATCACTTCTTACAGATGCACTCGAGAGGTCTTAAACTGGGAATCTATCAGAATTACGGTTTGAAGACATGTATGGGTTATCCCGGTCTCATTGGTTACCAGAAAGTGGACGCACAAACATTTGCCGATTGGCAGATAGATATGATCAAAATTGATGCCTGTTTTACACCCGTCCATACACTGGACAAAGGTTACGAAGACTTTGGCGATGTCCTCAATCAAACAGGTCGTCCAATGGTCTATTCGTGCAGTTGGCCATACTATCAGTTACATACGTCGACAGTGATTCCCAACTGGAATCTCATCGCCGATAAGTGCAACATATGGCGTACATATCATGACATTCACGCCAATTGGAAAGACCTGTTGGCCACCATTGACTTTGTTGGTGATAATCAACAAGTTTTGAATCGCAATGTAGGACCGGGTCGTTGGAATGATCCCGATATGGTATGTAATATTAATTATATTTTACTTACATCTATTGTACCCCTTAATCTTAACGCACTTAAAAATATTTTTACAAATAATTACTGGTAATTGTAAATATAATACTTAACTGTAAATTTCCATAGTTTTCTTTGGCACTTAAATCACTTTAAATCCATTATTTATAAACATTTAACATTATTTCTTAAATCAATTTTTTTGGAATATTACAGAATTAAAATATATTTACAGTATAAAAAAAATTTCTATATATTTAATATGCAGTAGTTTTATATAAAATTATTTATATCTATAATAGTCTACAAATACTCGTAAACTGTGTGTATTTAAAAGTAAGTATTAAAAGTATTATAAAAGTATTAAAAGTACTCATCAAATATATTTTTTTCTTATAAATTATACCGTAAGGTAAGCAACTAATACATGAAACATGTATCTATAAAAAAAATTAGTGATAAAAGTAACAATAATAATTAAAGGAAGTAATTATAATAAAAAATAATTTTTCTATACACTTACACATTTGAAAAATAATATTTAATGATTCATCTTATTATTCAAAATTAATTATATATTATATAATTTTTGACAAAAATTACAAAATTTGATACAAATTATAGTGTTTTTTAATTTTTTTATTGTATGTAATAGCTATTAATCGGCAACAAAGGCCTAACTGTTGATCAATCGATGGTTCAAATGGGCATTTGGTCGGTAATCGCCGCTCCGTTATTCATGTCCAACGACTTGAGACACATTACGCAAGAGTTTAAAAATATTTTGCTCAATAAGGAAGTGATTGCCATAAATCAAGACCCGATGGGCGAACCCGGCTTTAGGGTGTTTCACAACGAAACACTAGACATATGGGTGCGTCCATTAATGCCATCGCATCCACAACACGACTCCGGAATCGGTGACACGTCCTACGCGTTGGCATTTGTGAACCGTCGCCAAGATGGCCAAATTACCGTCGGTGTCAAACTTGAAGAATTGGGTCTAAAAACTAGTAGAAGTTATCGTATGCGCTATGTGTTTGCCAAACGGGACTTAAGTGTAATGACCGGAGCCGATACTGTACGGGTGTCGATACCCGCCACCGGTATTCGGCTTTTGACAGCAATACTCGACTGACGACTAAATTATTTTTTTTGTTGATATAACTAATCAAAAACTTTTTACTATAAATCCATAAAAAACTAATATTATATTTATATTTGTTATACGTTTTATATGAACGAAGCCATCATATGATTGGCTCATTGTTTTCATTGCAATATTAATATTACATAAGAAATCATTGAAACCACACTTTAAGTGAAAAAAATAAAACATTTTTATTATTTAATTAAAAAATAATTAATTTAATAAATCAATTAACAACTCGTTTAGTCCGACAATGGCTTTAACCGGCGGTCTATCGGCCGCTTATCGGACACTATTGAGATCACCGATAATGGCGAAGAACGGCGTCGGCGCCCGACTGTGTTTGATGCGACACTTTACCGATCAATCGGCGGACGACGTGAAGACCAAAATTGATAAACTGGTGGCCAATAATAAAGTGGTTGTCTTCATGAAAGGTGATCCCCAACAGCCTCGATGTGGATTCAGTAATGCTGTCATTCAGGTGATGACCAATTGATTTGTTAGTCAATCATCGATTTGGTGTCATTTCAATTGATAATTCATTTTTCATGTGACCATCAGGTTCTCCGTATGCATGGCGTCGAGTATGACGCGCACGACGTACTGGCCAGCGATGATCTGCGACTCGGTATTAAAGAGTACACATCGTGGCCGACGATACCTCAGGTGTTCATGAATGGCGAGTTTATCGGCGGTTGCGATATACTGCTGGAAAAACACCAAAACGGCGAACTTGTCGACGACCTCAACAAAATTGGTATCAAATCGGCTCTTCTCGATAGTCAACTGACCAAAGATAGCGGCGATAAATGAATTGCTAACTGTTTTGTTGTATTTAACTTTTCTTAGATTTAAAAAAAACAACTTTTTGTTTGTCATCATTAATAATAATATAAAGTTGTTAAACATTTATACGATAAGTTATTTGTGTTTCAAATTACATTTTATATATTAATATATATATAACTATAAAACATTCACACTGTAGAGTAATTTCAATAATGTTATGAAAAAATGATAGCTTATATAAATGTTATACAATTATACGGTATATATATGCTTATTATGAAATTACTGTTTAAAAATAAATATATAAGTAGATATTTTAAATTAAAAAAATAATATTTTAAAAGTAAAATTACAAATAAAGTGTGTTTTTTAAAAACACTTATTTTTTAAGTAATTTCTTCAAATCTTTGTTTTTTTGTTTCTCTTTATCGACTAATTTCCCCAAATTTGTGGCATATGTTTGGATGCCTTTCTTGTTGACCGCAATCTGGTTCTCAATTTTTTCTGTCATATTTTTCTGTTCCCTTTCGTAACGATTCTCTTTATCTTCAACTCTAGACATCATAAGAGAAAAAAGATAACAATATAATGATTTAAATAAAATAATTGAATGAATAGTATGGTTATAAAAAACTAACTGTTTTCTTAAGTCATTCAAATTTTGTTTGTCCTCCTTATCCGACATTTTTGTATTGCCGTCAATCTCACTGAGCATTTGTCGGGTGCGGTCGCACTCACTTTGAAGTCCAGCTTTGTGTGACACCTGTTCCTGTTATACACAAAATAAAATTTGATAACCAATTTGATTAGTACTTCTTAATTAAACTATAAATGATTTTATTTGACTAACTTTTTGTTGAACTTCTATTTCTGACATTAAATTTTGAATCGATTTCTGATTTTCAAAATATTGTTTTTCTTTTTCTTCAATTAATAAATTTAATTCATTGAGTTTTTGTTGTTCGGTTAGTGTGACTGAGCCCTGCAGTGAACTTAACTGTTGTATTATTGCAATCTTCAATTCGTGAACCTTATGTGAGAAAAACTTTTCCAATTCATTGATATCAGAACCGCTGGCTTCGCCTGTCTTAAGGTTGTCTAGTGTTGACAATATATCGGACCACTCGTGACTCTGTAAATGTCTTTTTAATGTTACGCTATAGTTGGTCATTGCGGGAGAATCAATCAAATCTCTCATTGCCGTAATAAATGAATCCAAATCCGAGTGCATCTTCTTTAAGGTGTCTTCACATTTGCTTCGCTCCAGACGTGCTCCGCGAATGCTTTTCTTAATCTCTTCAATGATACCGACCTCTTGTTTGATTTCTTCCTCCAACTGTTGTTTTCGTTCGCGAGCCAGAGCTGCCTCTTCAATGCCAAACGCCTGTTCCTCGACCTGATTCTTCAGATGTTTGCGTTGTTGTTCTAATTTCTTGATATCGTCCTTTTTGTCCTCAATTTTCTTCTCGTTTGTCTCGAATTCGTTTTCTTTTTCTTTTTGATGCATTTTTAATGCCTCTAAATATTCTTCCTGTGCCTTAATATCTGATTCATATGTCTGTATAGTTTGCGGTAAATTTTTTATCGTTTCAATCTCATTATCCAAACGTTTGATCTCATCACTCAGTGCTTCAGATTCGTCAACCAATTTCTGATAATCATCTTCTGTACCGTAGGTGTCGACCAATAATTCTTGTAAGTTTTGATCAATTTGTTCGTCATCTGCTTCTTCGGCATTACTGCTCAAACAAAGTTTAACTAATCGTGTTTTGATATCGATTTCTCCCTCAAAGTTCGGATAAAACGTACGAATCGGATCCATATCAATGCCATACTATTAGAGTAAAACAGTATATCTTTTAAATTAATATGTTTAACAAAATATAGTAATGATTTTACTGTACTTGAATAGTGTTGACCAGCCATTCAAGCATTCCTAAGACACTTCCAAGTGCTCGACCGCTAGTAAATGAAACCAAATCACTCTTTTTCACGGGAAATGGATACTCCAATACTGCCATCATTTTGGGTATTTCTGTCTCCATCGGCAGTACTTTGCCTTTTAGTCCCAAACAAAGAAATAGAAATTCAAAAATGTTTGCAATTTCCTTATTAGTCGGTCGGGTGGCAAATGTTTTGCTAATAGTATGCGGATAAGCGCCCAATGGATTAGTAGTTAAAAATTCCAGCAATTTTTCGACACATTCTCTCTGATATTTCGGGTCACTGAGTGGTCGCGTGTCCTTTACGTGTCTCATACCGCCAATACTCGATCGGCGCGACGACTGGGCTGATGAACAAGTGTTTGGCTGATATGATGGACGATTGTGTTGCGGTGTCAGACCAATCAAATTCATCTTTGATGTAACACTTTTGCGAGCGCTAAACAACGGGTTGGACCTAAAGTTAGATAACATGGATTGTCGGGCACCACCACCACCACCGGCGCCAGCATTACTTAGTCGCGATGAACCACCACTACTAGTAGCCGCTGAAAACAAATGTTTCAGACCACTTTGCGGCTGCATTTTACGAGACGAAGCCGTCGACGGAATCGATGTTCGGCTGGACGTAGTGGACAGTATGGGAAGCCGTTTGTTGCCACTCTGTTGGTGACCAAAAGAACTTGGCGGTCGTATACCCGACGGTCGGCCACTGCCGCCGAAACCAAAATTAGATTGTCGGCTGTTCATCACGTGTTCGGTTATCACTCAACAGCTGTGATTCGGCACTAAATCAGTCATATAAACAAAACGGTCACTCAATTAGTTGGTCACCCGATTGACACATCAATCATAATAAACACAATTTATGTGTCAATACTTACAATCAAAATACAAACAAAACTATTCAATCAATTAATTGTTTTAATGTTTTTAATGCAAAAAAAATAACTCAAACAACGGTTCGCTTGCATTCAAGTGGCGCTCAAATCAACCAATCAGTGGACAGTATTGTAATTTTATAGTTCATTCATAAAATACGTTATGTATTAAACTTTAATAAATAAAACGCCAATTGATTGGTATAACTCCCGATTGGACACCAATTGGTCAACGGAAGTGTTATACTTTAATACATTTGTATTTGTTTTATAATTTAATTAATTATTTAGTTATTCAAATAAATATCAATAATAATATTTGATTTATTTTTTAAAAATTTATAGTTAACTAAAATTATGTTATTTTATTAATGTTGTTAAATGTTGTTACTATTATTGTACGTTTTATAGTTATATAGTATGTATTATACTATATAAACATTTCATTATATAATAAAGTACCATAATATCGTTAATAAGTTAACACAATTGTCAAATTATAAGGAAATTAATTGCGTAATGCATTGCGTAGTAATTGTTATGACGTTATGATTGACACCAAAAATAGTCAACAAATTGTTTAATAATAATAATAAATAATAAATAAAAACAACAAATAATTGTGTAATTAATTAATTATAATTAATAATTGAAAACAATTTTTATTATTAATTAGTTTATAATAATAATAATAATAATAATAATAAACAAATTGATAGGTAATAGTGGTTTAAAGTGATCGCAACACTAAACAAGTAAACATTGTTTGAGTTTGTTTTTTGTGGCCACAAATCGGACGCTCACTTCACGAACAGTTATGTCGTCGGCGGTTACGGTCAAAGAAGAAGTGATGGACACCATTGATGCAGCCGTCGGTACAGCCGATAGTCAACAATCGGCAGTTCTGAAACCGTTATCATCGGTTGGAGATAAGATTGCGGACACAACATCTATGGCCATCAAAAGCGAGTCAAATGAGGACAACACCGTAAATGACATCAATACGAGTGCTGTGCCGTCGGCTGTTGCTGTCGGTGCTGGCAGTCGTACGGCCAACACTTCATACAATAATAGTAATGTTAACAAACGCAACGTCCGTAAAGCCCGACGTCCCGGAGCTAAGGTTGACATGAGAGCCAAACTGGAACGGAGTCGCCAATCGGCCCGTGAATGCAGGGCTCGCAAGAAGTTGCGGTACCAGTATTTGGAGGATCTGGTGGTTAAGCGTGAGTTGGCTAATATGACGCTCAGACAGGAACTACAAATGGTAGGTTAAACTTCACTCTAGAGCTACCCGACCCCACACATACATACACACACACACACAGCTTATACATAGCATTAACTTTATATTAAATTTGTTAAAAAGAGTATTAGTTTGACTCTAATTACTATTGTATGTGTGATTTGATTTTGTTTTTGTTTTTGTTATAAATTAAATGTTTTAATTTGTTAATTAATAGAGTAATTATCGATTTTAAGTTTGATAATCAATTTGTTTTAATATTTTGTTGTTTGTTTCTAAATTGGTGTTGAAATAGTTGACAAAATTATAGTGTATTAAACAAAGTTTATGTTTAATTTTATTTAGAGGTATCAACCAGTTATTGACTTCTAATTGAATGTGTTATTCATATAATATTTTAAAGATTAAAATGTTTTTAAAATTAGTTATGTATATGTAGTATAAATATTTATAGTTTTGCTTTTTTTTTAATTTCTAAATTATGAGTTTATTTATCCAAATAAAATAAAAATATAAAATTAAATATCAATTTTTAAAATTGTGCCAATTTTTAGTGCTTATCATAGATTTATTGCTTGATTATCTATAAAGTATTTGTATTTTTCAATATGTGTTAAACCCAGTTATTTTAGAAAATAATTACATTTAATAATAATAATAATTGTTTGCAATATGTAATTTGTTAAATGATAAAATTTTGTCTTAGTTTTTTTAAATAAATAACTATTAATAACTATTTGTTAGTGAAAAAATATAATTGATTATATAATTAACTAGTTTATTGATCACTTTAATTTTGAAAATATACAGTATATTTAATAAGTATTGATTTTATTATATTGAAAAACAAACAAAAATTAGTATTCAATTTTTTATAAAGTGATTTAAAAGTTTGATTATATATGTATACTGTAATATATATATATATATATATATATATATATATATATATATATATATATATGATATATGAATGTATATATAATTACGTTTTTGTTTTGTTTATTATTATTAATGCAATATTTAATTTTTTTTATGACTAATAATAATAATTATTATAACAAAATTTAATATTGAAAAAAATATTTACCGTAATTTGTATTTATTTTGATTAAAGGTTATTAGTAAATCGTGAATATATAATTTTTTTGATTTAACAAAACGATTTACTTATTATTTTTAGAGGATATTACTAAATAATTATTGATGATTAGTGAAGACAGTCCTAAATATTTTATGTATATTTATATTTTAATTAAGGAGTCTCTCTCTCTCTCTCTCTCTCTCTCTCTCTCTCTCTCTCCATGACCTACAATATGATAATAATAAAATATATGTATAAAAATATTTTTTTAATATTATTATTTATTTACATCCAATATGTATTAATAGTCAATTTGTTTGCTGATTTTTAAAATAGATATATGTTATTGATTCCTATAGTATTTTTTAAACAAAATTGTTTTTTATTAAAAATATTGTTTGTTTTACATTTTTTATTATTGTTTATTCATATATTTTTAATGATTGTTTATTTTGCTTGAATATCCAATTCAGTGAACTATATATTTATTTGAAGTCACGCTTTCATTAAATTACAGTATTATCAATAAAATTGAAATTTTCCCAAATATTTAATCTGATTATTCAAAATAAAAAAAATATTTGGTTTTCTTTCGCTTGAAATGATAATAATTGTTTGTTAAGATACAAAATATTAAGTAATAACTGATAACTTATTATTTATACAAATTTCTTTTGGTTTAGACAATTATTACCTTTCATTTATGCATTTAAAGTCAAATTTAATTTATATGTATTACTGTAATTTTCACATATTGTATAGTATTTTTTTAAAAATACGGAAAAATAAAAAATTTTGCATTTTTAATATCAATACCTATGAGTTAAATACATATTGTAATTGAAATATAAATATAATTATAGGTTTGCATTAGTTAAATAGTAAAAGAGAGAGAGAAAATGAAATTTACTTAAATTTTCAATTCAATTGTAGTTATAATTTGGATTTTTATGTCAAATTTAATATAAAACTCTCTCAAAAACCTATTATATATAAATTTTATATATATAATAATTGTATATATTTTTTCTGAGAAAAATTCACACTCAATTTAGTTTTGATTATACAATAAAAATGTTTCTAATGCATGAGTTTTATTATTAAAAAAACACATTGCAATATACATTGCAATATTGTATTGTTTTGAGATTATTAAATAAAAAAATCCTTGATTTTTTCAATTRTAATATTGAGCTCTATTTTATTGAATTGTATGGTATTTTTGTTGAGTTTAAAATAAAGTTGTTTTATTAAAAAAAATGTGGAGAAAAAAATGAATTAAATGAAACTTATTTTTTGAGGGAAATTATTAAATAATAATATATGTATATTGTGTATACAATTGTCTGAAAGCTTACCAATGTGTTACAATGTGTGAATAGATTTTTCATTTTATTATAAACACATTATGAAAATATATATATATATATATATATATTTAAAATACAGTGTGTGTGTGTGTGTGTGTTGTATTTAATATAATATATTAAATTATATTTTATGAGGTATTGTATGGGTAAATGGCCCCCGATTTCATGATTAGCCTCAAAAATAGTTACAATTAAATTAGATTTTAATTGCATTGCGAGTCTATTTTCATTATATAATTATCGGTTGACTTTTTTGCTAGTTTATATTTGCATATAATATGTATGTACTGTACATAATATATATAAATTGATATTTAATTTAAGTTTTGATTAATGCAAAAAAATTAATGTAATATATCTTATTATATAACAAGCAATCACCAATTTTTTGTTTGTGTGCCACTTGTGATGATAGTTATTAACTATAATTTTAATCAAAATGCTATTTTTATACAATTATAATATTAAATTTTCACACAATTTGAAATTCATGGCTATTAATTTATTAAAATAATAATAATAATTTAAACACATAATTTGATTATTGTATTTTTTAAATATTAAATAGAAATTGTACTATATTTGAGTTTAATTTTTAAAATTATTACTCTGATTATTATATAAGAAATATTTTTAGAAAAATAGGTTTCATTTGTTGGTTTTAATTATTTTTATATTAAATATATATATATATAGTATAAATTGATATATTGTTAAATTAACTGCTCTACTCATCCATCAATTGATTTTTTTATCAGATATAAATAAGACAGTGTTATATTAAATAAATTGATTTTATATCACAGATATTATTATTTAGGTAATACTTGTATGTGTTGTTGTGTATTACAATGTATAATACAAGTGTAGTGAGACTTTTGACTTTAAGTACAACTATTATTGCTTATATTTAGGGTCTAAAAGTAGAGCAACTATTTGGATGTCAATTGGATGGCCTAATGGCCAGATGTTGTGCACTACATTACTTTATATCAATAGCTGTCATTGCCTCACAAATTTAGGTGTGAGTGAGTGTGTGTGTGTGTGAGTGAGGTGTGAGTATGTGATGAGTATTGACTGATCGATAGTCACTTAAAGAAACTGATGATTTGATTTGATTTGTGTGATGAGATTGTGTTTAATGTAATATATTTTTAAACTTATTGAAAATATCATTTAGTTTTAAAAATAGATTTATTTAATTTATTTTATTTTTTTGTTAAAAATACTTTACTCAGATAACTAGCTTACGTGTTAAACTGTAATAACATAAATGACAAGTATGAATTTACTATCATATTTTTACAATACTTTTATATCATATGATATATATATATATATATATATATATAAACAGATCACTATTTTTGTGGTAAAAATATCGATTTAAATTTATTTTTAAATTTAATGAATTACTTTTATTTATTTATTTTTGAGAATAAAATTTTTTAAGTTTAATTATTTTTTATTTGGGATAAATAATTCGTTAAATTTAACTATAAATTGAAAGTTTTTAGTTTCACTTTATTTATTATTATCCATATATTTATTATTCATTTGGTATCTATTTGAAGGATTTATATATATTTCTGGTATTTTTTGCAATACAGAAATTGCATTAATTTTTGTTGTATACAAAAAAAAATTATTTTCAGGTGAATTATTTATGAGTTAATTAACTATTTTTTATTTATGATTGACACAATACATACAAATATAGTTTTATAGTGACCTATAATAGTGAAATGTAATTATATATTTATATATAAAATATATTTTAAAAAATCTATCAGATTATTTGTGCATAAATTTATATTTTATCTGCTGTTATATATTTATTTATTAATGTCATATACAGTATGTATTTATATACAGTATATACTAAAATATTTTTAGACGTTTGTTTAATAACAAGTGTGTGACATAAATGCAAATTTATACGTTATTTTATATTATTTTTTTCTTAAATAGTTTCATAGCTGATATTCAACAAACAGTCAGTGGAAAAAAATAAATAAATTTTAATTAAAAGTTAAAAATGTTTTGTTTTTTATTTGAAATACGGTTTTATTTATAGTAATAAATGCATTGAATAAAACTTTTATTCTCTATAAATCTCATTATTCCTTTTAAAACAATTAAAATTTTTAAACTTATTTTCATTTTCTCATGAATTTATATGACACAAATGCAGAGTAAAAACAATAAAAAAAACTAAAATATTTTTTTTATAAATACATTAATATTATATGTATATTTAAATTAAAAAAATTTAAATTTTAAATGTTACACACGATTTTTAATAAATTTTTGAAAAATATTTGACTGAATATATGCCAAATATTTTTATGATAATAAGTTCAGATTTTTTAGCCAATATTTTTGACATTAATAATATAATATTAATATTATTAATAATAATAATATTTATGTATATAATATAATATYGTAATAATAATAATGATTTTTTAAGAATAAGAATAGTATCAGCAAATTGTGAACTGAATTTTCAATTGCATTATATATGAAATGAATGCTTATTTTGCTATTCAGTTATTCAAAACTGATTTACAGCATATATAATGTACTGTATATTTACTAAAGTATTAGTAATACTACTACTACTACTATAAGCCCTTATATTATTATATTTTTATATTAAAATATATATATATATTGATCAGATGTTGCTATCAAAACTATAAGTTATTTTATTTTTATTTATACTCTATTTTCTTCAYCGAAATTTTTCTTTCTTTTTGTTCATACATTTTATATGATCTCATGTTTAATATATTATGTGTATTGACTTATAATACGAAAGGGATCAGACATCACGTCTGGCGGCCGTTCCCTTCACTGTTAAGTTAAACTCTATGGCTGTCTTCACGCGTATGTCTTATTATTTGACATTTTATTTGATATATAAAAATATTTGAAACACACATACAATACATGCCATAACTATATGTATAAATTTATATCTAATATATAGTATATATATTGACATTCATTCATATTATTAATATTCAATTTTTCCGGTTGTTTCCGTCCATTGGGAACGTCATGGTTCATTCCCTACCGAAACCAATATGATGATTGGCACTGGTATGTTGTATACAGTACCGGGAGATAAGCAAGAAAGTAGACTCGGGTCATAAACCGCAGGAATTGTTGGCCAAAGCACTGGACGAAGGGGATAAACAACGTAAAAATAATAGACGTGCATAAATCGGGTTATGGATATACGGATCGGGTATTCAACCCCAATGAGAGCATTGTAGAAGACAGTCATCACCTCAAATACATTCATTCATAGATACACCTAATTTGCTAAATGTTATTGCCATTTAAATATGTATTTTAAATTGCTTTTTATAAAATATATATATATATATATAATTAATGTTTTTAAATTTATTATTATAATTATTATRATTATTGAATATATATTGAATTATTATTATTATTAATATTATTATAAACATAAATGTGAATACAAATATAAAATTTTATTATTATTATTACCGTAGTTTATTTGTTTTTTTTGAGACCTAATTGCAAGTATTTTGTTAGTATGCAATACAATATTAATTTATATATTTATTATGGTTATTATAATTTAAATTTGTAAAGAGGTTTTTATTTCATTTTACTAATATATATATATATATATATATATATATAAATTATTATTATTATTAAAATTAATATATTATTATACGATTAATATAATCGATAACTATTTGAAAAAAGTAAAATAATGTTTTAACAAACATAATATGCATTGAATAATATAATATATTTTAAAATAAAAAATAAATTTATTTTTTCAAACAAATGAAATAATAAGAATTTAAATATTTAGTAATAAGATTTAATTTTTTAATAAAAAATAAATTTTATTTTAATGGGTAAATCAGTAATTTAAGTGATGAATAGTTTAAAATATGTTACAATTATTTGATTTGATATATAAAAATTTAATAATATGTATTTGATATAATATAATTAATAATAATATTTATAAAAAAACTTATACAATATGTGGGACAATATAATAATAATTAGTATGTTTATAAATAAATGATTTATATTAAAAACTATACTTATATTTGTATCAATATTATAAATTATATACCAAATCTCAAATAGCCTTCAAATGGTCTTAAAATATAAATATAATTTTCCGTTTTGTTATTATAGTTATAATAATTTAATGATTAATTATGGGTTTAATTTTATCTCAATAAAACAACTTCTCTTTATTAATCGCTTATTAATTTCTACTATATATTGTGACCTTAGTAGACGACAAATTAGGACTACTAAACAAAATTTAATATTATAAATATAATATAAATATATCGTGTATACATTGTATGTATAGTTATTTAATATTAAATAAATTTTATATAAATTACAGTTATAGTTGATATACTATTAGAGTTGCTTACAGTTTCACACAATTATGATGTGGTAGTAGTAGTGCTCTCAATATAAATATAAATACAGTTAATTTACAATATATATAAAGATTTATTAAAACACTGTTATTATGATTATTATTGATTAATTCAAACCTATATAATTTATATATATTTATTTATATGATATTTTTCAGAGTAAGTGACTGAATAAGAGACTATTATTAAGTGTGTTTGTAATCTCGCATTTTTTCGATTAAATAATGATTTAATGACTGAAATAGCTTTTTTGTATATAAATAATAAATAAATTTTTTTTATATATATTTCATCGATGTATTAATATATGTAATATAAGTTTTTATTTAAAAAAATTTGTTTCAGTGTGTTATTTATTATTAATGTTGATATTTATATATACATACTGTATATATACAGTACTAATACTATTTGGTTGATAATGAAGTAATAATGAGTGCACTGTTTGTATGTAAAGAATGTGCGAATCAATCAAACTCTTGCCGGAAGACATGGATTTTCTTGTGTTTAATAAGTTTCTGGCGTTCAATATATACACATATATTAGCTTTAAAAGAGAGAAAGAGAGACAGAGAGAAGAGAGAGAGAGAGACAGAGAGAGAGAGAGAGAGACAGAGAGAGAGAGAGAGAGAGAGAGAGAGAGAGAGAGAGAGAGAGACAAAGAGAGAGACAAAGAGAAAGAGAGACAAAGAGAGAGAGAGAGAGAGAGAGAGAGTACCATAAGGATCATAAAAATGAAAAACAAAAGATTTAATTTTTAATATAAAATACAAAAATCTTTTTAATAATTTATTATTTAGTTTACTAATATTATGACATACTATAGCATAATAACTCAAATATTTTTACTTTTTACTATTATTATTATTATTAACATTGTATATAAATAATTGATAAACTAATATACAGTACAATATAAGTTATATACAGTATTATACAATACATAATATAAGTATTTGATTTAGATTTTTAAAATAAAAAACACATACATATAGTATACGATTACAATTTATAATTACTTTACAATTTTTGCTTAAATCTAAATATAAGATAATTTGTTTGGCACTCACTTTATCGCACTATCTATGTATGAACTCTAAAAGTTTGTTTGTTTTCTTTATTATTAAATAAATGTATTTATATTGTAAACAAACAAAGAGTTTATTTTAATTTTAGCTAAATATTGTTTTTGCTTTATCTTAAAAAAATAAAATTTTTTTTTTAAAAATATACCACTACTTAAAAATAGTTTTATTATTTATAATTTTTAAATGAGTTTTACTATTTTTAAAATTCAATTCAAATATATAGTTGGCTTTCCTTACCATAGTTTTTTATATACACTATTAAATGTTATGTAATATAACTTATGTTTAACTATAAGTGAATCTCTATTCCTAGAAAAGCTATCTCTCTMTCTMTCTMTCTCTCTCTCTCTCTCTCTCTCTCTCTCTCTCTCTCTCTCTCTCTCTCTCTCTCACTCACTCATTCACTCACTCATTCACTCACTCACTCACTCACTCACTCACTCACTCACTCACTCACTGACTCTCATTCACTTTTTCTCAGTCTCTATCAGTTTCTGTATTTCTCTTTAAAAATTAAGTTTCTTTCGTAATCCTTACTAAAACACATGAATCTATACTACAATTTACTCATCATTTATACAACGAGTGGGGATTTTCCCTTAAATTTTCAGCTGTGGTTCCTCTGTTTATTCACTCGTGTCTCGCACTGAACCTCACTATATGTTTGTTAGTTAGATATAAAATATCTGCCTTTCCTTTCCTTTCCTTCTCTCTCTCCCTTTTCATCCCTTATTTCTCTTTTCTTTCTGATTCTGATTCTTCTATAAGATGTTAACCAAAAAAATCTAAAAGAAATGGTAACTCCTTTGCGAATATCGTACAGATTATTAAGCAAAGACTTCATTGAATTTTCTTCAAACAAATTCTATTATATATATACAGTATATATATATATATATATATATATATACGATATATATATATATATATATATAGTATATATATTATATACAGATATATATATATATATATATMTCTTATTTTTCCAACCATACCCTCTACTGACATTTAATGCCATCAAAATTGTATTGCAATCTACAGTATTGTATGTCTAATGCCTATATCTTGCCATATAGTCTTGTGTTGTTGTTGTTGTGTTGTCACACAAATCCAGGCGCTGAGGAACTGATCCAAAAAGAGTTTTGACTGCCTTTTTGTATTTAAGGAATCGCTTGTTTCATTTGCACAGACATTGTCTACTGATAAACATAACACTAAGGAGAGAGAGAGAGAGAGAGAAAACAAAATCATATTAAAGTAGGAAACGTGTGTCGCCTGTCATTTATATGCCATACATTTCCTCGCAACTCCTTTTCATATGATAAACAATAATCATAATATAATAGACAAGACATATATGACATGCAGACAGTATGTGTTGAATTGAAAATTAGGATTTGTTTTATATATATTCCGATGCTTTTTGTTTTGTTTTATTAGTCATTGCTTTTTATTTGAAGCATATATTCCGAGGGCTTTGTTTGAAAAATTGTCTCTTTTTTATTCATCATTTAAATTCAATTGACATTTAATAGCGTAGAGAAACATAGATTTGCTGTAAGGGTTTGTTTTATTTTAAAATAAAAAATAAAATTTTATGATTATTTTATGTACACTCTCTACAAACATAAATGTTAATTATTTTTTGGTTGTTATAATATAATGATACAAAAATATATAATGAATTTCTAAATAATTTTTTTTGTTTATAAAAATTTCAATATATAGTAATATAATAATAATAACTAAATTATACTAAAGAAAATTAATAATAAAAAAGATTAGCTTTAAAAAATATATTTTTTATTTATATTAACACTTAGAAAATTATAACACAATTTAGGTTTTTATTTATATTTGATAAATGTTATTATAATTTGTTTGTAAAGTTGTTTTTAAATAATTTGTTTTATATTTACGTCTCGTGTGTCTTAAATTATATTTGTATGACACGTATAATAATTTTGTTGTTAATGTTTATATATGATATCATAACATCCATAATAATCGTATTAGATTTCATTATAAACATATTATACTGTATACTAAATATATTAATAAAATAATAATCATGTTTTTAAAAATAGTAATAATAACAATAATAATAAAAATTTAATATCTAAATATATTATGTGATGTGATAAAAATTGTTATTATATTTATATCATATATTTTTGTTAATTTTTAAAAATTGATTTTCTTTGTTTAGCTCATTATCTCAGTTAAGGTTATTAGCACTATATAAATGCTAGTAAAAAGGGTTATAACATATATTTATATTATAAGCACTGGTAGTTTCATATATTTTTATTAAGAGTGCACAGAGTTTGGGAGGTTTTATGAAAAGGATCGAGAGGTCAATAGATAGCTTAAAATGCAAACGAGAGTACATATAATAATAATAATAATTATAATTATTAAACAAAAATTATTGTTTAATTTTTAAAAAGAGTTTTATCTTTTTAGGTTTTACTGTATTCACAATTATGTGGGTATTTAAAAATCAYATTACAATAGAAATTATATTATTCACTTATGTTAATCCATTTGTTTATTTTGAACAATATTATTATATTATTAATAAAATGTATATTTATATTCATATAATAATATAAATATTATATTTTATATTTGTTTCTATAAATATATTAACATTTGATATAACATTATATTTTTCTAATATTTAAATAATGATATTGATAGCGACTCTATTTGTTTGGTTTTAACAGTTATTTAAAAAGATAAATAAGACAAACATTTGTTATAAATATAAAATTTCAAAAAACAAATGCAAACATAAAAAACAATTTGTTTGGTTTTCTCACTATTACAAACTT